TTCCTAATATGCATATTCACTGCTATGAATTTCCCTCATAAGACTGCTTTCATTGTGTCCCATAGATTCCGATATGTTGTACTGGCATTATCATTGTAGGAACTGTCTGATTTCTTAATTTCCTTTGTGACCCATTGGTTATTCAGAAGAGTGTTGTTCAGTTTATATGTGTTTATGAAATTTTTGTGGTTTCTTTTGCTATTGATCTCAAATTTCATCACACTATGGTCTGATAATATACAGGGGTTAACTCCAATTCCTTTGTACTTAAACATGTTCTGTGAGTGAGTATGTTGTCTCTTTTGGAGAATGACTGTGTGCAGCTGAAAAGAATTATGTATTCTGATTTTGTGGGGTGGAACACTCTGTAAATATCTGTTAAATTCATTTGTTGAATAGTTTGATTGAGTTCTAGTGTTTCATTGCTTATTTTTTGTCTAGTTGATATATGTATTTGTGACAGAAGGGTATTGAGGTTCCCCACTAGTATTGTATTAGTACTTAAATGATTTTTCATGTCCATTAGTATTTGTTTTATATAGTTGGTCACACTAGTGTTTGATGCATATATATATTTGTGATTGTCATCTCTTCCTGTTGTATTGTTCCCTTTACAAGGATGATGCTTTTTTGTCTCAGTCAGTGTTAGGTTGAAATCCACTTGATCTGCCAAGAGGCTAGCTACTCCTCCTTTTTTCGGGTTCCTGTCACATGGAGTATTGTTTTCCACTCTTTAACTTTCAGTCTGTATCTTTTTTGAATTAAGTGTGTTTCTTGTATGCAGCATATTGTTGGATCTTGCTTCTTGACCCATTCTGCCAGTCTATTTCTGAGTGAAACTGTTAACATTGATGGTTATAACTGATACAGATAATATTGACTTATCATCGTCTTGACTTTTTCTTTTTGTTGAATTCTCCCCCTTTGCATTTAAGTTCTTGTCATGCCTGATGGATTCACTCTGCTGATCTTCCCAGGGTTGTGATACTCATTGTCTTTTCCTAGGATATTATCTAAAAAATTTTTGGAGTGCTGGTTTGGTATTCATGAAGTTCCTAAGGTGCTCTTTGTCATGACAGTATCTTATTTCTCCATCAGTTTTGGAAGATAATTTTGCAGGGTGCATCAACCTGGATTGGAGGCTGTTTTCCTTTAGGGCTTGGAATACGTCACTCCAAGCTCTTCTTGACTTGAGGCTTTGCGTTGAGAAGTCTGCTGTGATTTTTTTTTTTTTTTTGTACCGGGGATCAAACTCGGGTCCTTGTGCTTGTGAGGCAGGTGGCAGAACCACTGAGCTAAATCCCCAGCCTTAGTCTGCTGTGATTTTGATGGGCTTTCCTTTTTATGTGATTTGTTTCTTTTCTCTAACTGCTTGTACAATTTGGTTCTTCTGTTGGGTTTCTGGAGTCTTAACTATTACATGCCTGTGTGTAGATTTTTTTTCATCAAGGCTAGTTGCAGTCCTATATGCCTCACTTACCTGTATGTCAAGTCCTTTTCCACTGCTTGGGAAGTTTTGTGCCATCACTTCTGTGAACAGTTTTTTTATGTCATCTGAGCTCTCTCCTTTTCCTTCATTGACTCCAATCAGTCCTATGTTATTCTTTGCATCATCTAGAAGCTGCTAGATTGATTTCTTGTGGTCTCTTACAATTTTAAAGCAGTTTTTCTTTTCCTGGTCACTAATTGCAATCTTATCTTCTATATCTGAAATTTTGTCCTCACATTGGCTCATTCTGGTTTGTAAACTTTCAGTGGAGTTTTTAGTCTCCTAGAAATGTGTTTGCATCTGTTTTATGGATTCCATTTGTTTCTTATTTTGGAATTCCATCATGTTTCTCAGCTCCATTTTTGTATCTGTGTCCTCTCTAGATTTATTAATCATGTATTTCACTATGGACACAATTTCTGCTGTTATCTGAGAAATTATTTCTGATTTCATTTTTTCCAGATCCTCTTTTGTTGCCAGTTCAGAGAGTCCAGGTGGTTGAGTAT